CAGGTCTCTGTCTCACCCAGTTCAGGTTTGCAAGGGCTTTTGTGGTAGGGAAGAAGGGGAGAAAACACTGAGAGGATAGACAGGAAATTCCCACCCAGACCCTGCCCCAGGGCTTCACTCCCTAGAAGAAAGGAAACCAGACTCCCTGGGGCCAGCATCTAGAGTTTTGCATCCTTTCTCTGAGCTGGTGGGGTGGGCTACACTCTCAGCCTGTGGAAGGTTTAGAGAAGCAGCTTAAATTTTAAGGATACATTTTATTCTTTAGTATTCAATTGTGTACAGCTTACTACACTAACTCCTTTCCCTTAACATTTAGCTCAGCCTTCATCTGCTCAGGGATTTAGTGACTCACACAGGCATGGTCTCTCTTCTTGCTTGCCTTACTTTCTTTCCTTTTTTTTTTTTTTTTGGTACTGGGGATCGAACTTGGGTCCTTCTGCTTGCGAGGCAGGCGGCGAAACCACTGAGCTGGATCCCCGGCCCTCTTTTTGCTTGCTGGTGTTCCTCTCTCCCCCTCTCCCTCCTCCTTCTGGTGCCAGGGATCAAACCCTGGACTCATGCTAGGCAAGCACTCTACTCATGCTAGGCAAGCACACTGAGCTTGGCCCTAGCCCAGTGGTTTTATTGTTAATCTATTGTAGTTTTTCTTTTTTAGACTCTAAAGGCATTTGGAGGGGTGTCACTCCTAAATAGCTTCATACACTATTAAAAGAAGTACAGCTTACAGTGATCCCGCAACTACAGGAGTAGATTTCTTCTTTTAGTCATATATTACTGTCTTAAAATCTGTACTGAGCATTTAGTATTTAAAAATGGTGCTTTTACTACTCACAGTGATATAGGGGAAACGGATGTAACTCCCAAACCTACTAGATATCTGAAAACACGAGTTCGTGTTTTCTAAAATCGAAGAATGAATTCTAGGAACAATGGAGGTTAAGAGTAGGAGAATTTTCTTTCTTTCTTTTTTTTTAAACTGGGGATTGAACTTGGGAGCTTCGAGGGAGGCGCCGGAACCACTGAGCTAGATCCCCAGCCCTAAGAGTAGGGAAGTTTATCGAGAGAAAGATAGCTTTTAAGAGAGACAAAAGGGGGACCAGAAAGTGGGTTGCCTGCCTACCCCACTTTTCAAAGATGTTTTATACAGCAAAGCCATGTGGTGAGGCGGGTACAAAGTGGGACAAAACTATAAGACCTAATGGAAATTTACAAGGTGGGCATAAGGTGGGACAAAACCACGACCAACCAGTAGGATTACAAGTACAGTCACCCAGGTAATACTGATCAAATGGGGATGAAATGGGAAAACAAGTCACACACAAGGAATTTTCCATTTAGAACATCAACCACTGCTGTCTATCTCTAGGGGAAGTAGTGCCTCTTCTTTTTATAATGCTGACCAGTGAATGTGCCTCAGTTGTTCTCCCTGTTGGCTCCTTGCTGTGCTGGCTCCTGGAGGCCTGGGACCTTGAGGCCTGGGGTTTTGAGGGGGACCCTCTCTAACAGCCTACAAGATATCTAATTAACATACCTATCTACAATAGCAGCATACCAAGGTAAAAGTAAACTACCTCAAGTCAGAATTCTATAAAGATTGCTGCTTATTGGCCACTTACTCCTACCCCAGAACCTTCATGTGACAGACCGGTTAAGCCCAGTACCCCAGAAATCTAAGCCCCACCTCCACCCCATACTGGGGGTTGAACCCAGGGCCCTCACACTGAGCTGCTTTTGTCTTTTGAGGCAGGGGCTCACTGAATCACTAAATAGCCCCGGCTGGGCTCAGATTTATAATCCTCTTGCCTTGGCCTCCCAGAGTGTTGGGAATACAGTCCAGGTATCTTTACACAACAAATCCTACAGGAGCCTTTAACTCTGAATTCAACAAATGCAATGTTAAAAAAGATGGAGCCAGCACTCTGTAATGAGAACAATATAGCAGAACCTCCTTAGAAATGTATCAAAACATCCTCCAAACTCTGCATTTGTTGTTGACATGGGAACATATAATTTTCCCCCGATGTTTCAGCTGTAACATAGGGATAATAATGATGATCTCACGTGATCTGATGATTAAGCGCTTTGAACTGGAATTAAAAAGTTGGAAGTCATCAGCTCACAAACGGTGTTGCAAACCATGGGAAATGCTGAGATGACCTAGATCAGTGGTGGCCACCTAGGGCACGTGTGGTTTTGTGGTTTTCTTTTCAGACAAAAGATGTTAATGTATGAGTTGTTTTTTCTAAACTAAAGCCTCAGTATTCAGGTTTAATTGCTGAGCTGGCACTTTGCCATACGTAAGTGGGTTTGGGGCTGCAGTTTGGGTCCTCAGCTCTACAAGGTTTGCCAGCACTGACCTAGAGAAAAGGTTGAGAAAAGAAGACTTCAGCACTCCTTCCAAACGTTTCCTTCTCATTTGCACACTCAACTACTCTGTATGTGTGTGGTGTATGTGTGTGCATGGTGTGTGTGTGTGTGTCAGCTGGGGGTTGGACCTAGGGTCTTGCACATGCTAGGCAAGTGCTCTACTACTAAGCTGCATCCCCAGCCATTTTTATGGTCTCACCATGTGGCACAGGCTGCTCTTAACTCCTGGACTCAAGTGATACTCCTGCCTCAGCCTCCTTGGTAGCTACAATTACAATTGTGCACCTCCATACCCATCTTCAACAACTAGTTTTGTTTTGTTTTGTTTGGTACCAGGGATTGAACTTGGGATCTTGTGCTTCCCAGGCAGGCAGTGGCACCACTGAGCTAAATCCCCAGCCTCCCTCCCGGGTGAGATCAAAAGGACAAAGCAGCTGGAAATGGTGGTGCACGCCTGTAATCCTAGCACTCGGGAGGCAGAGGCAGGAGGATCATGAGTTCAAGGCCAGCCTGGGCTACATAGGGAAACCCTGTCTCAAAAACAGCAACAAAAAATGACACAGCAAAGCTAGACCCTACTTCCAAAGACTTATGATGTAAATGAATGCATGGGCCTGCAGTTCCAACCCATCCCTCGGCCTCATGGAGACACCATTCTAATCTCTTCTTCTCCGAGTTTGACTTTATTCACTCATTTGCAGTTCTGGGAATCAAACCCACAGCCTCTTGCATGCTAGGCAAGTGATCTCCACTGAGCTCCACCCACAGCCCAGTTCAACTGTTTTAGGTGACACATGTAAGTGAGGTCACAGGTATTTGTCTTTCTGTGACTGGTTTAGTTCACTTGACATACTGTCTTCCAGGTTCATTTATGTTGATGGAAATGATAGAATTTCCATCTTTTTATGGCTGAATAGCATTCAATTGTGCATGTGTACTGCATTTTCTTTATCCTTTCATCCATTAATGGAAAATCCACACTGGTTTGATTCCATCTTATGAAACAAATTTCAAGCCACTGGACATCTAGTGATAAAGGATATTGATCCTTAAGAGTCAGGAAATAAATGAGGAGAGAGCCCTGCATTAAGTTAAGGGAGTATCCAGGATGGGGCCCAGGACAGGACCCCAAGTTGAGGAAGCACAGTTGAAAGTATGGGAGGCCCTGGCCAGTGTTTAAAGGACAATGCCAGAGAGGGGACCTGCCTGGAGAAGAACTCTGGAGACGTGGGGAGGTACAGTCAGAGCACAGCAGTGCATGGGTGAAAGGAAGCTCCTGAGGCTGGGAAAGCTATGTGAGAGAATTAGAGTGTGGGACCGCATAGCCTTTGTTCCTTTTCTCCAGCCTCATTGTGATTAAATGTGAGTTAATGGATAAAGATGCTTGTTAGTTTTGGGACACTAGATAAAAATCTGTAACAGACCTAAAGTCCCAAAGTAAACTACTCAACTCCTTGTTTGCCTGGAACTGATGTTCCGGACACCACAATCTATAGAACAAGCTGCAAATGTCTGCTGACCATCAATACATGACAGTCGACTACTAACCTTTGTCCCCTTTTCTTTAATTCTATATGTTAACTTCCCCCCTCAACCCCCTATAAGAACAGCCTCGGACTCTGAGCCAGTTGCCTCTCTAAGCTATTTTGCTTTGGGAGTGCCATCTGGCCAGACTAATAAAGGTCTGTTTTATTTTCCAACTTGTCAGGTGTGTTCCTTCCTGGGTGTTCTTCACTGCAGTCAGCTCCTCGGAGCGTTTTGTAAGGCCCTCGGTCTTACAAGAGAAGAGTGTCCACTGTTCCTGCAGGGCCGAGAGCAGAGCCTTTCCCAACAGCCTGACTAGAAAGCTCCACAAATGACGAGCATTTGAAAAGGCCCCTCCTCAGTAGTGGAAATAACTAGCTCAACGCCAGTGGTTGTCAACCAGGGGAAGTTTTGCTTCCCTCTCTGAGGAGACATTTAGTGAAGTCTGAAGATATTTCTGATCGTCAGGACTAGGGGGGAGGTGCTACTATCCTTAGTGAGATGGCCAGGGTCACTACTAAACGTCTTACAGTGTACAAGTCAGTCCCTAACCCACCACAAAGAATTATCTGGCCCACAATGCCGAAGTGGTAAGGTTGTGTAAACCTGCTGTAGATTAGTCACTGCTCTGTCTTTCTCAACAAATCTTAAAAGTAACAAACAGAAGGATCAAACTGCTCCAAGGGATTTAACTACATCCCAGAACAAAGCTCAAAAACATTTACAAGAGTACAAAACTATCCAGCACCCAATATGGTAAAATTCACAATATCTGACATCCAATTCCTCGCCAAAGATGATAAGAGATGCAAAGAGGAAAAGCAACGCATGATAAGGAGAAAAACCAGCCAATTCAATCAAATACAGAAGAGACCCAGATGTTGGAGAAACAGCACTAATTCGGAGGTGACAGTCGAGAGAGGTGACCCGAGCCCTCCAGCGCAGGCCGGCGCGAAGCCTCAGGGTAGCTTCCGGGGGCGGAAGCTGGGCGCGCCCCCACGGCTGAAGCCTCCCCGCGAGAGGCTGGGGCGGAAAGTGCCCCCGGAACTCAAAGGCCCAAGCCGGAAGTCGGAGGGACAGCCACGGCCTCCCACCGGGGGCGTGGTCCCGCCAGGCCTCGCCCCGCCCCTTGGGCCGGCCTGTGGGGGAAGGCGTCCGCTTTCCCGGCCGCGAGCTCGGGTGCCGCTCTCGTCCGCCGCCACTCGGAGTCATGTTGAGGAGCTGCGCAGCGCGCTTTCGCGCGCTCGGGGCCCCACGGGGCAGCGCGAGGGTGAGTCCGGGCGGCGGCCGTGGGGGGGGGGGCGACCCCGGGAGACGAGCCTGGTGACGGGCGGGCCAGCAGCGATTCAAACCCTGGGACCCTGCGGGGACGGACGGGAAGGTTATTGAGGATTGAACCCAAGATCTTCGCGCTAAGCTGTGTTCCCAGCCTTTTATTTTGAGATGGTCTCACGAAATTGCCCAGGCTGGGCTCTAACTTGCGATCCCCCTGTCTCAGCCTCCTAGAGTACTGGCATTACGGGTGTGTGATTCAGTTTTGAAGCAGTGCGGGATGCTTGATTGGTTATTAGGGAACGGACAGGCGCTATTACTGATATTAATAAGGAAAAGTTAAGCAAGGTCACCCTGAAGTTTCATGGTAGAAGTGACCCCTGATCGTAGGCTGTAGGATCCAACCGTTACCTCACAAGAGGAGCGTTGTCCATCCCTTCGGGTGGTTTAATCCTGATAGGCTCTCACTCATCTTATTTCTGAGAATGCAAACCAACCAGGGCACAGGTAGAAGATGATCCTTATGCCCATTCTAAATCAGTTTCCCCTCCTCTAAAGATTGTTACAGGATAATGAGATTACACAAGGAAGGTGTTTAACACAATGCCTGAAACATAGTGTTAAATAAATATCAACTCTCATTGCATCATTGGTGTCTGCAATTAATGTTGATTAAGCTTCAAGAATACTCCAGTCATTACTGGCCACTATGATATGCAAGGGATGATCAAAATATATAATGAAAGTTTTAATTTTTAAAAAAGTACTACAGTAGAAGACACATTGCCATTAATCCCCCTAAAAATACTGCCCCTTGCTACCATTTTCTATAGCATTTCCGGAAGCCTTGTTTCATAAGTGTCTTTAGGAGGTGAGATCAAAAATGAGGTGACTGCTGCTGTCAAATGCCATCCAATAGAAAGGTGGGCTTGTAAAAACATTACAGTGTGTCCTCATCCACCTTATTCACTGGATCTTGCACCATCAACTTCTGGCTTTTCCTCAAAGTCAAAATGACTAAAGATGAAAGGTAAATGTTTTGAATCAGTTCAGGTCACGGAGACAGCCACAACTATGCAACTAAAGACATGAAAGAGGACTTCAGAACTGCTTTAGAAAGTGGCAAGAACAATATGATAAGTGTGTTCAGAGTGAGGGGAGAATTTGAAAGGGGAATATTTTGAGGAGGATTTATGGCAGTCTTTTTTTTTAAATTTAAATATTCACGGTACTTGTCAATCCCACCTCATATATAGATTAAGAAACAGCCCTTTCTGTAAAGGAGCTTACAGTCTAGTTTAGGCAACAGGGTCAAATTTTGCAAAATTAAAATGTGTATGTATAGCATCTTAAGCTATTGGAGCTTTCTGCTAAAGAATTAGTATAGGTTGGTGATTAATCATGTACCATCTTGCCCTTCAACAAAGAAAATGTCTTGTGTAGATCTCAATAAAGGTGAATTAATTTCTTTAATTATATGTTGGTGCCTTATAATCTGTGCTGAGAGTATTTAAGTATTAGTACTTACAGTCTTTATAAGTCATGCTTCTTTCTGCTTAGTAATTTAATCTTAAAAGGAGACATAAAAAAGGTCATAACTTTTCTTATAAGGCCCACTTTTATAAATGTATAACCAAAGATCAAGCATGACCTTTCTTCTATTTAGGATAACCAAGGGCAGTGATTGTCCCTAACATTTCCTCCTCAGGTGTTGTCTCTGTGTGAATTTGCAGGCTTGCATATTTCAGGTGTCTATTAGCTCTCACCTTCATGAACTGAAACTATTTTTCTTTGCCATGTAGGCAAACAAACTCAGTATACCCCACACTAAAATTAGTAGATCCACTCTTTTTCGCTCCTTCCACATACCCACTGCTACACCCACATCCACACCCACACACACACACATAC